TTTTTAGTCTTGATTTCTACTTCTTGCAATCTTGAGTTATTATAAATTAGTGTTATTCGTCAAAATTAGGAAGCACATTAAATATTAAATTATGAATGATTTACAACTTAAAAATAAATGTTTTGTCAATTGATATCAATACTTGAATTTCAAAATTAAAATACTTTATTACCTTATTTCAATTAAATTTTTTGATTATTATCGATAGAATGTTGATTTAAAAAACACTATAAAAATAATTGTGAATTATTTTCATTTTAAATTTTGTTAAAAGTCAAAATAGTTACAAAAACTTAAGTTTTATAAATATAAAATTGATCTAAAGTTTGTACTCACTCCCTTTTGGTTTATATAATTTTAATTTAACTTAAGATTTTTTTAAAAGAAAAAAAACTTTTAAAACTCATGGTCTAAAACAACTATAAATGTTCATACGACTGTAAATCATATTACTACGAATAAAATGAATATTTTAAAGTTAAAATGTTAATTAAATATATTATACATCATTCTTTTGAAACTGACTACAAAGAAAAATATGTCACATAAATTATTTTAAAGTAAAATTTTCATAAGTTTTCATAGTGTAAAGAATTAATTAAATTATATCCATACTTTTTTCAATAGAATAATACATAAATATGTCCTTTAACTTGGCCTCATTTTACAATTATACCCTTCAACTTTGAATGTGCACAAGTAGACACTTAAATTTATATAAAATTGAACAAATAGACACAAACATCCTACATGGAAATTTGTGTCCTAGTGGTGTCCTACTAGAACTATCAATATGGGCTAGCTCACCCTATCCGGGCTAACCCATACATGCTTTGACATTTTACGGGTCAGGCCGGGCTAGACCATTTTTGGCGTGAGCCAGAAAATGGTCGGCCTAACCCACAAGTACGGGGGCTACAGGCTTGATGGACCAGCCCACTTTTTAAAAAAAATTATATTTTTTTAAAATTATAAAATTAAATTTTAAATTATAATTTAAAATATTATCATAAATATCGATAAAACAATATTACATGATGTTAATGTTAGTACTTGTTAATCAAATCAAAATAAAATTATTTTTATAATATTTATTAGGGATAATTTCAAAGACCTCCATGTTTCGCTCTATAACACTCACCTCCCCTTTGGTTTACGATATTACGTCTACCTTCTTTATTTTCATTTACTTGTAACCATTCTTTAAACCTATTTAAAATAAATATAAATTAATATAGAGCGAAGCCTGGAGGGAGGTCTCTAAAATTATCTCTATTTATTAAGTTTTTTTTTCAAGTAAAAGTATAAATATATATAAAAAATATTAACCTAATTATTTTGAATTTGAACTCTCTTTAATTTTAAAATTTAATATTATATTAAATTTTTTAATTAATTATTATTGGCCCATGGGCCGACCCTACCTATATTTCTCAAGCCCATCAAATCAACAGGTTTATTCAGGCCAGGATAAAAAACCTTTTTCTTAAATGGGCTCCAAAAATCTTAGCCAAACCCTATTAAATCCCGGGTAAGGCCAAGCCGGCCCAACGTGCCTAGCCCATATTGACGATTCTATGTCCTACATGTATTATGACAAGTAGGACATATGTTCCTATTTGTTCAACTTTATACAAGTTTAAGTGTCTATTTGTGCAAACTCAAAGTTGGATGGCATAAATATAAAAAGAGGTTAAGTTAAAGGGTGTATTTATGTATTATGCCTTTTTCAAATTACAAAAAAATTTCTTAGAATCAAATAATTTCATATAAATCAGCACACACGCGGACACATCGATAGTGATAAATTGCTGTTGAGAAAACTTGCAGACACATAGCTCATGGATGAGTTCGAGAGAGAGGGC